GGCAGGATAAGGGACACAGCAGGACACAGGGCACAGCAAACAAAGGGGCACAGCATGACACAGGGCACAGCAGGACACAGAGCACAGCAGGACACAGGACCTGGAGCCAGGGCTCCCCCGGGATGCCAGTCCCAGGCAGGACAGAGTAGGGTGGCACGAGGGGCTTGCCCAGGTGCCCACCCTCCCTGGGCAGGCACTCCCTGCCCCTGCTGGAGCCGCAGGGAGGGCAGGAGGGTCACAGGGGGTGACACGGTGACAGAATGGACAAGCCAGCACCGCCCCGGGGCCGGGGCTTTTGTCTCCCGCCACCTTCCCAGCCCGCCGCAGCCACTTCCCCTATCCAACATTTATTGTGGCTTCTCCTGCCTGCGAGAGGCCCTTTGATAACGGGATTGGAAGGATTATTTCTTTAAAGCTCTGCAGCTGTTTCTTGCAGAGCCAGCACGCTCCGGCTGCTGCTTCCCACGTCCCCCGGGCCGGGAGCAGGGCGGGCAGCCCCGGAATGTCCCCGTGGCACCGGCCAGCCCCGGCCACGCTGGTCACCCCCATCCCATCGCCCTCCAGGGCACCGAGCCCGCAGCACTCCCTCGTCCAGATTTATCGGGGGAGACGTTTTCCCTCACTGAGAGCTGGGCCCAACAAAGCCTCCGGCCTTCCACCCCGGGCTTTGCTTGTCCCCAGTACTGGGGGCACACGGGGAGGGAGAACTGGGACCAGCAGAGGACACAGAACCTCCCAGTCTGGGTGCCCCGGGCAGGGCTGGCACAGACCCAGAGCCAGGACCAGCCCGAGGAGGAAGCAGAGGGAAGCAGCCCTTCCTCTGAGGACCAGGAATTTCACCTTTCCCAGGGAAATCTGGCAGCAGAACCCCGCCCCACAAATGCTGGATGTGCCCTAAAGACGCAGGTGATTCCAAATGCTGATCCCAATCCATGGGAACAGCCAGGGACAGACACAGAGCAGCCACATGGCTGCAATCCCGGGACCTCAGGGGGCTGGGATGTGGCACTGGGGTGCTGGGATGTGTCACTGGGGTGCTGGGATGTGACCCTGGAGCACTGGGATGTGACCCTGGAGCACTGGGATGTGACCCTGGGGTGCTGGGATGTGTCACTGGGGTGCTGGGATGTGACCCTGGGGTGCTGGGATGTGTCACTGGGGTGCTGGGATATGTCACTGGGGTGCTGGGATGTGACCCTGGGGTGCTGGGATGTGACCCTGGGGTGCTGGGATTCCACCTTTAGGGCTGGTCTCCCGAGTGCTGTGCTCCTAGGACAGCATCCCTGTCCCGGGACAGCAGCCGCTCTTGGCACGCACAGGGAGCGTCCCCAGAGCTGAGGGTGACCTCCAGCACCCCAACAAGGACGGTGGCACTCGGGGAGCCAGAGCCCAGCACCAGCAGAGGCTCGAGCGTCCCCATACCCCAAAAACGTCCTTCAGGGGGGCTTTGGCAGCGTCTGGCACTCGCCCCAGCTCAGGAGCAGCTCCGGCTCTGGCACATCCCTGAGCCCCGGGGCGATTTGGCCAGGAGCAGAGCTCCCAGCGAAGGGAACAAAAGGCAGGACGGGCCGGGGGCTGCCGGGGGCTGCCCGGGGCCAGGGCCGGGGGCTGCCCGGGGCTGGGGCCGGGCTGCCGCAGCCCCCGCTGCAGAGGATGGCTCCAGCCCAGCGCAGGCACGGCTCCGCAGCGCGTCCCAAATCCCGCTGCTCCAAGAGGAGCTGACGCAGGGATTTCGGGAGAGAGCCTCCAGCCCCCCTGACACCTCCATCCCCCGGCTTCTCCTCCTCGCCCCTCGCCAGCGCCAAAGCCGAGGCGAGGCCGAGCCCCCCCTGCGCCCCCGGCCCGGCCCGGCGCCCCCCGGCGCAGCCGCGTCCGCCGGAGCGTTTGCCGCGGTCCGTCCGCGGTGCAAAGGCAGGTCGGGATCTTCCTCCTCCTCCTCCTCCTCCTCCTCCTCCTCCCCCTCCCCTCGCAGCCCCTTCCAGCAGCTCCTGCGTCAGCTCTGCCGCTGCGAACGAGCCCCGCTGTGCCGAGCACGGAGGCGGCTCCGGCGCCATCCCTGCCCACCCGGCACCGGCACCGGCACGGCCGGACCCGTGCCCAGCTGCGGGAGCAGCGCTGGCACCGCAGCCCGTGGGCATCCGTCCTGGTTTTCCCCGTCGCTTACAATTCCGGGCAAGGGCGGGAGGCGGGGGGGAAACCAGAAAAAAAAGCCCCCAAAGTGACACCGAAATGAAATGCGGGGGCGCTGCGGCTGCCAAAGGCCAAATTCCGAGAGCGGGATCGACCCAACAGGCGGAGAAATTCCACGTCTCCTCCCCCGGAATCGGGACGTGGTCTTTGCCGCCCCTGGGGGCTCGCAGGGAACGGGGACCGGGAGCACCCGCAGGGCCGGGGAACGGGGCATCCCGCAAGCTCTGCCCGCAGCCCGCGGGATCCCGCTGCACAGCTCCGGGGGCACCATTCCCGGGGGAAAGCCGGGTCCCCACCGCTCCCGGGGGTGGGGGAGATGCTGCTGAGCCCAAAGGCACCCGGACATCCCTGTCCAGAGGCTGGGGGGAGCCCCGCCTGCTGCTATCCCACAAAATCACGGCAGCTTGGAAGTGCTGGGAGCATCCAGCCGCCCCCTCCAGCAGCTGAGCGGAGCGTGACTGACGGCCTGGCACAGCTCCTGGCACAGCTCCTGGCACAGCTCCTGGCACAGCTCCTGGCACAGCCGCTGCCAGCGGCGCTTCCCGGCGTTCCAGCGCCGGCACACGGCCCTGCCGTGCCCACGGGACACCTGCCCAGGTGTCATTTGTCACCGCCACGGGGAGGGGACAGCCGTGTCCTTATCCCGACGGGTGGGCTCTCCACTCCGGCCTCCCGGAGCTCCTCCGAGCTCGGTGTCCCTGCACGGCTCCCACAGGGAATGCCCAGCAAACCCTTCCTGCTCTGGGCAGGTTTGGGAGCTCTGCTCCTGTGCCAGCCACATCCGAGCCACCAGAGCAGGCCCAGGAGCCATTCCCAACCTCATCCCGGCGGACACGAGCTGGCGGCACCACAGGGATCAACTGAGCAGCCACAGGAGCTCCTGGCTGTCCCAGCAGCTCCAGAGCTTTTCCACGGTGCCCCATTCAACCCCGGCACCCCAAGAGCTGCCAGGCTTGATCCCATTCCTGCTTTTTCCAGGAGCTGCCAGGCTTGATCCCATTCCTGTTTTTCCCCAGGAGCTGCCAGGCTTGATCCCATTCCTGCTTTTCCCCAGGAGCTGCCAGGCTTGATCCCATTCCTGCTTTTTCCAGGAGCTGCTAGGCTTGATCCCATTCCTGCTTTCCCCAGGAGCTGCCAGGCTTGATCCCATTCCTGCTTTTCCCCAGGAGCTGCCAGGATTGATCCCATTCCTGCTTTTCCAAGGAGCTGCCAGGCTTGATCCCATTCCTGCTTTTCCCAGGAGCACCCAGGCGAGGCCGGGTTGCTCGGACACGATCCCGATCCCGGCAGGACCAGAGCGCTGGGAGGATCCGACCCTGCGCAGGGCCCAGGCCGACTTTCCAGGGAAATTCCAGCCGCTCCGGAGCCGCGGCCGCTGCCTGGGCGAGGCGGCAGCTCCATCTAGTGGGGCTGATCCCAGGGATCCTGCCCGGATCCCGCAGCTCCCGCATCCACCGGGATCATCCCGCGCACCTCCACCTCCCTCCCGCCCTCCTGCACCGGCTGTGCCCGCGGATCCACGCCGGGACAGGGATTCCCAGGGTATCCATGGGCAGGGATTCCCGGGTATCCATGGGCAGGGATTGCCAGGAATCCATGGACAGGGATCCCTGCGTATCCATGGGCAGGGATTCCCAGGTATCCATGGGCAGGGATTGCCAGGAATCCATGGGCAGGGATTGCCAGGAATCCATGGGCAGGGATTCCCAGGTATCCATGGGCAGGGATTCCCGGGTATCCATGGACAGGGATTCCCGGGTATCCATGGACAGGGATTCCCAGGATATTCATGGGCAGGGATTGCCAGGAATCCATGGACAGGGATCCCTGCGTATCCATGGGCAGGGATTCCCAGGGTATCCATGGGCAGGGATTGCCAGGAATCCATGGACAGGGATCCCCGGGTATCCATGGGCAGGGATTCCCAGGCAGGGATCCCCGGGCACCCATGGGCAGGGATCCCACCAGCACACACCAGGAGAGGGGCTCAGCAGCATCTCCAGCCTTTGGGAGAAATGGGAACCAATCCATGGGGTGTCATCCCCATAGGAACATTGGGAATTGATCCGTGGGGCATCATTCCCCTGGGAGAATCAGGAATTGATCCGTGGAGCAGCCATTCCCCTGGGAGGATCAGGAATTGATCCGTGGGGCATCATTCCCCTGGGAGGATCAGGAATTGATCCGTGGGGCAGCCACTCCCCTGGGAGGATCAGGAATTGATCCATGGGGCAGCCACTGCCCTGGGAGCATCAGGAATCACTCGGGGTGCAAGCCCACCCCTGTGGCCCTGGCTGACCGGAGCCAGGTGCCAGGACACCCCCAGTCCATGCAAACCCCAAAAACCAGAGCCCCTCTCCCAGGGCTCTTCCCTTCTCCTGGCACCTCTTCCCGCTCCAGCCCTGGGATCCATGGCCGGGATCCAGCCAAGGGAAGCCCCTCTGGGGTTTGCCCACCCCCATGGGGAGGCCAGAGGGAGCTGGGCACCCCGTCCTGTGGCTCTGGTCCCCACGGGTCCCCTCCCAGCCCCGCTCACCTTGGCCACGAACTGTTTGTCCTTCTGATCCAGGTTTGCCGTGGGCGCCACGTAATCCCTCCAGATCCTCAGCTTGCGCTCCTTGGCAAACCTGCGGGGTGGGGACAGTGGGACACGGGGCTGGCACACCCGGCGTGCCGGGGTGGCACTCCCAGCAAAGCCCGGGAGAGACGGAGGGGAGAGCCCAGCTGGGAGCACTGGGAACTGGGGGAGCAGCTGGGAGCACTGGGAACAGCTGGGAGCACTGGGAACTGGGGGATCAGCCAGGATCAGCAGGAGCACTGGGAGCACTGGGAACAGTGGGAACAGTGGGATCAGCAGGAACACTGGGAGCAGCGGGATCAGCTGGGAACTGTGGGATCAGCAGGAACACTGGGAGCAGCGGGATCAGCTGGGAACTGTGGGATCAGCAGGAGCACTGGGGGCAGCTGGGAGCACTGGGAGCAGCGGGATCAGCTGGGAGCACTGGGATAAGCTGGGAGCACTGGGAGCAGCGGGATCAGCTGGGAACTGTGGGATCAGCAGGAGCACTGGGAGCAGCGGGATCCCCATCCCACCTCTCGGCCGCGCGCAGTTTGTCGGCGCCGCGGGTGTAGACGGCGATGGACCAGTCCACGCAGCGGGCAAAGCCCTCCTTCAGCAGCAGCTCCGTGATGTTCCCGTTCTGCGGGGAGCACGAGAGGGCCCGGGGTCAGCAGGGTCCCCCCGGGGCCAGGAGGATCCCCCCGGGGCCAGCTCTGCTCACAGACCAGGATGTCCCAAACCCACCAGGAAAGAGCCCAGGATTCCCAGTGGCACCCCCAAGCTCTGCCCTGCTCACAGGGACCAGGATGCCCCAAATCCACCAGGAAAGAGCCCACAAACCCCAGTGGCACCCCTGGCTCTGCCCTGCTCACAGGGACCAGGATGCCCCAAACCCACCAGGAAAGAGCCCACAAATCCCAGTGGCACCCCTGGCTCTGCCCTGCTCACAGGGACCAGGATGCCCCAAATCCATCAGGAAAGAGCCCACAAACCCCAGTGGCACCCCGGGCTGTCCCAAACCCCCACTCCCCGCTCCCCCACTCCCCACACCCCGCGGTGCCCGGGCGTGCCCGGCCCCCGGAGCCGGCCGTGCGGCCACTTGCCGGGTGCAGGATGGTGCCCAGGATGTTCTGGTTGTGGCAGCTCTCCAGGACGATCTGCACGTCCCTCTGGAGCAGCCGTGACTCCGTGAAGAATTTGGCTTCGGCCGCGAAGGGCTCCGGGACCTCGGCGTCAGCCTCGCGCTTGAAGGTGGGACACTGCGGGCACGGGACAGTCAGGGCAGGGCACGGCCCAAAGCCTGGGGAAGAGGCTGGGAACCCCCCGGGGAGGAGGCTGCCCCCATTCCCCAGCTCCTGGGGTGCTCTGGGGACGGAAATCAGGAATTTGTGCCAGGACAAAGCCCTTTGACTGCCCTGGGAAGAGACCAACTCCAGCTCAGGAGACCCCTGGGCAGGGACCTGGAGCTGCTGGAGAGCCCCAAGGAGGCCCCGGAGCTGCTGCAGGGCTGGAGCCCCTCAGATCCCAGGGATCCAGGCTGGGAGAGCTGGGAATGTTCCCCTGGAGAAGGGAAGGATCCAGGGAGAGCTTCCAGCACATTCCAGGGCCCGAAGGGGCTCCAGGAGAGCTGCAGAGGGGCTGGGGACAAGGATGGAGGGACAGGACACATGGAATGGCTCCCACTGCCAGAGGGCAGCCATGGATGGGAGATTGGGAATGAGGAATTCCTGGCTGGGCTGGGATTGCCAGAGCAGCTGGGGCTGCCCCTGGATCCTGGCAGTGCCCAAGGCCAGGCTGGACACTGGAGCAGCCTGGGACAGTGGGAGGTGTCCCTGCCATGGCAGGGGTGGCACTGGAGGGGCTCTGGGGTCCCTGACCACCCAATCATGTCTCTGCTTCCTTGGACTTGGGCATCAGCAGGAATTTCTCCTTGGGATGGGTGATCAGACGTTGCAAAGGGCCGCCCATGGAGCTCAAGAATTCCTGGAGGTGGCACTCAGGGCTCTGGGCTGGGGACAAGGCGGGCGCTGGGCACAGCTGGGATGGGCTGGGAGGGCTTTTCCAGCCTCAGGAATCCTGAGATCCCGTGAACTCCCAGCAAATCCTGACCAGGGAGTCTGACAGCCCCGGCCACCCCTCGGTGACACCTTGGGCTCCTCCCAGCCTGGCACCACAGGTGGCAAGGATGTCCCTCCAACCTCCCTGCTGCGGCCCTGGAGGTGCCACGGAGGGCGGACAGGGAAGGAATTGGGCACTGGAGATGGGGCAGGGGGAATGGGGCACTGGGAATGGGGCAGGGGGAATGGGGCA